TATAAACTTACATTAGTACCAATTCTTTCATATGGGGTGTAGGATATTTTAAGTGGATGTTATAACATCATATGATTATTCATGTACATATAAGAAACTGCAAAAATATCATATCCCATGTGTACATTCAGTTGTAGCCTTGGGGATGAAAAAGAATTAAACCGTCTAAAAATATTTTACAATAAAATTTTATAGATAGACCTACTAATCATTATTTTCACATGATACCAGAGAATGAGGTATGAACACAATACGATTATAAACAAGGAAATCTATCTTTACTTCGTCTAGAAGACAATGTGGTAGGCCAAGATCTAGCAGAATTAGAAATACAATGGATAAGACTAGAATAACTAGGACAATAGCATGCAATATTTGTAAGATTAGCGGGTCTCAACTGTGTGATGTGCCCCAATAACCCAAATTCAAACATGTATTTGAAGTAAACTATCACATACGACAATATTTTTTTTATATAGAACTTATGCTTCTCTCTAATCATTATACAGGGATAGCCAAGATCGCATGTGCGGAAGGCTGCCACCTTGTTAGACGTAGTTTGACCAAAGAACAAGTTGACCGATTAACAATAAATGTCACTTCGAGCTTAAACTTGTCAAGAGCATATTATAGAGCATCATACCCTAATCAGGTAATATACATATATTTTCTTGTTAATAAAATTGAAATATAAATATAATATCATGTCGGGTTTTATTTTCGCATCGACACGGGGCTTTTGAATGTCTTGTAGATTTAAAGATTTTGGTTGTTCAAATAATCAAGCACGTCATCAATAGTAATAAACAACTTCAAAATGTAGAAATACAATTTTTGCAATGGGTTTGATTATTCAAAATAAGAAGACATTAGATATCTGCACTGATCTACAGTTTAAACTTGATAAATTATTTCCTCTATATAATCTGAAGACTAGATAAGGTAAGCCCTTATAGTTAACTATAGATTAAACAATCGAAGTTACTTAAGAAAACTCTATATTAATGTAGCAATTTTGTCCTCAAGAAATTTCTGAGTTTAGGTTTCCACGATTGGGCATTAGATTTCTAAATGGGAAAAGCTCAAAATTTGAATAGTTATTAATGGAGGTCAAAGGGAGAAAAGGTAAGGGACACTTGGAGATACTAAGGAAACCTCAGTAGTATCCCAAACTATTTTATTGTTTGACATTTGACTTTTTTTCAAGAAAAAAATTAATGTTTCATGTTGATATTTTATTAGATTATTAGGACTTATGCTGCATGACATAAAATCATACAGGATCCTAAATGTGAGGATTTACGTCGTAACTCAATGAACAACTTCGAAGTCTTAAGGTGAAGTTCACCAAGAGAAGTGAAACTTTGGAACCCTAACCTAAAACATGGAACATAATGGATTTATAACCATGCTTAGAAAGGGCTGCCATCTAAGCTACCTAATCTCCTTCAAAACCTTACATGGTAGTCTCGATGATGCAAGATAGGGCAGGTTGTTATTTATTAGGAATAATTGGTCTTACAACTTGATTATAAATCAAGTTGCCTAAGTATATATGCTATGCATAATATCCTAAGACTAATGCAAACACATTTTAAAATTTTAAATTTAAATATTTTATGCCTCACCACACTCAAATATTTAATTGTATTAGTGTTGAGTGCATTGAAGCAAGTTGTGTAATGGGTTATGCGAGTCCTTGATGATGAATGCATAAAATCTCTGTTCAAAAGACCAATTAATACATAGGCAAAACTCACTGTGTATGGTAGTGTTTTTCATATGTCAAAACACCCCTTTCCGTGCAATAAGTGAGGGCCCAAAAACAAGAAAATATGAGCAACATGTTATGCATATGTCTTCAGATCATGTTATCGTTCGTATTCATAAATTGAAAAAGAGTTTCTACTTGGTTTTATTTGATGTCAATCGAGGTTGTCTAGATAAATGTTATTTCTATGGTTGTGAGTGCAGTGATTTATGTGATTTAGTTTTGGTTACGAATTTTATTTTAAAAAGTGAAGTTGCTTAGGTTGGGTGAGAGGGTTTTGTCCTTATGTGAGCATACCAGTGATCGAAGCATAAGGCAAAAAGGTGAATATCAAGCTATAATTTGGGTAGACCTATCGAATGAAGACAAACTGACAGTATGGATGTCAACCCTAACTTAAGTCAGACTCGTCAACTGACATCATCTGAACTACCGTTGGTGGTTTAGTTGAGGTTCATCATTTGGTTCTTGTTTAGGTTATTTTGGATAGTTTGGATGTTTATTGTCAATGGACCATAATACTTCTTAACTCTATAAAAAAAAATATGACTCAAGGAAAAGAACTCAGGTTACTACAACAACTTATTTATTTATAGCTGGCCTGCAAAATAGAGTTAACATACTCTAATAACACATAAAGTAAATCTATACAATTTACTGATCATTACTATTCTCTCCCTCTCTCTCTCTCTCCCATTCTTACCCTCTAATCTTTGAGGTGTGATTCATAGACAAATCAGAACTTAACAATCTGTAAGTAAAATTTCCATTTTCTAAATATGCTCAACAAAATAATAATTTTCATAAATTAAATTGTTTGTAAAATATAATAAGATAGAAGGCTAAAGCAAAATATAATAAGAAGGAGGCTAAAGCAAAGGAACAAGATCAAACGGTCATAAGTCGTGATTAATGTTCAAGTGGATGTCCGATGGATCTCGAGCCCAAAAAAGTCAAAACCATCCCTATGATCTCATTGGGCGGAAAGCAATCTGTTTATAAAGGCCTTGCAATGTCAGCCAATTCAGAGGCATATTCTAAGGAATATAATTTGGGCCGCATTATTCACTTAAATAAGATCCACTTATCTTTATTATTTTTTTATTTATTTATATATAGACTTGCATCATCAACCGCACATTAACTAATTTATACATTTCATTATTTTCTTAAAGTTATTATAAATAAATATAGTAAGAAATCTAATTTATGACATCTTCGTGACAGCTACAGCTTATTTAAAAATAATTGTCAAGCTGTTGAATAATAATCTGACGCTCAAAAAACTGTGATAGCTACTACAAGTTTTTTTTATATATATATAAGTCAAATCATTGCGAGAAAGTTTTCACTGCACCTAGTCATGACTGATGTAAAAATATAGATTTCAACAATAGTCTTTTGAAAAAACTGTCAAAACACAGACAAAACTGCGATGCGTCACTGTCGCCCCAAACGAGAGAAAATATTGCGTCTGGAGTCCGAACGTGAGCCGCATCGGGACAACATTTACGATACACTTGCCGGTGTTTTTTTTCTTTGCTGCGCCCGATGTATCGCGTCCGTTGTTAGGATGCAATTCAATGCTCCGAATTTAATATTTTTTTCCCAAACTAATCCTTAATTTGTTGGAGATAAATGCACTGATTTAGATCATTTTGATTCAATTTTTTTCTTGTAAGATAATATTGCGCGTGAATGGTGGAATGAGATGGGAAGCCAAGAGTCCACATATTCTCTATGCGGTCGGGTATATTCTCTCATTTCTATGCGATCGGCAGTACTTGTCGTTAATTAACGATTTAATATTCTGGCGCCGAACTGGCAGATCAGGACGGGCATCGAACGAACCAATGCATTTTGAGGAATATTATGTTTGTCAAAAAATGTTAAATCAATTTATGTTGAATGTGTTGAATCTAATTCATGTCATGCTCAGTTTAACTCGGCTCAATCACAACTCTAATCGCGAGATATTTAATTTGATCGAGTATTTCTTAAAATTGATAGAATAACCGAGTAACAACAAAAAATTATGAATAACTTCTCGTTCCTTACACGAAGAAGAGTATGACATGAACCTTGAGATGAAGTTCAGTACGCCATCATTCATTTATGATTAATCGGCCATAGCTGTCTAACTATAAAGCGACATTGATATCTGACATGGTTAATAAGTCCAAATGTACTCCAGTGTCACCAATAAGAGCGCGTATCATTGTCAATAAGGGCAATGAACACCATCTACACCATCATCAAGTAATAAAGCCAATGCACACAATCGGAACGAATGTTAAAATGTATCATTATCGATAAGATCCATCGGTATTGTCTAGACCAATGTCAATGCACGTTATGGCCAAAGAAGTTCAATGCATCTCGTCAATAATAAATATTAATACATATCATCGAAAAAATGATCAATGCATGTTATTAGCATTAATGCCAACACACAAATTTTTATAAGTATTTACATACCACCAATTTCTTTTGTAATTACATATTTAATAATTAAAATTTCCCTAAATTTTAGGATATGTTTAGGGCAGCTGCTAAAAAATAATCAGTTGTTCAAAAAACTGTCGTGATTATTACAATTTTTTTTTTTTGAAAAGTCAAATTGCAGCTAGAAAGCTGTCACAACACCTAGCCATAAACGGTGTGAAAATGTTGATTTCAACGATTTGAAAATGTAGCTTTTTTAATAAGCTGTCAAAATATTGTTTATCCAAATGATTTTAGGTGTGTTTTTAAAACGCATCGCACCAAATACGGTGCCCCAAAGAGACCTTTAATCTTCATTTCTTTGAAGATATAAATTTATCGTGAAATAATAGAGAGACACAATTGATTTGGCATAAAAAAAAAAAAATTGCATTTGGATATCTTTCAAATTCTAGTCCTTGAGGGAGTGAGCTGAACATCTATAAATGACTGTTCTGATCGAAAAATTATTCCATTTGGACATCGTATGCAGAGATGCCTACGTTGTCCGATCTCCACCGTCCATCATAGCAAAGATATATGACGGCGGACTCTATTTTAAATTTAAAAGAAAAAAAAATTGTTGTGATGGACGGTAGAGATCGGACGACAAATGCATTCATTGGGAATAATTTTTCGTTAATCAAACGGTCAATATGATTATTCGCATGGAGTTATTGTACGGGTAACCTGGCGGAATCGGACCTCGCCTTCGGGTTGGTGGATTGTATCACTCCGAAATTTTTTTTTATTTTTATTTACTAATTTTCTTCCGGACAAAGATGGAGAGCAGTTTCTTCATAGAGTGCCGCGAGAGCGAGAGGGAGAAGATTGGGGATTGAGGGCTCGCTGAGATCGAGGGAGGAGTGTTTGACGAGGACTGGATTGCAGCGGGGAGCAGGAGAAGAAAGGCGGAGATCCGGCGGCCGGCGGCTGAGGAGTTGACGTTCTGTGTTGAGCGGACACTTTAAGCTTTAACGGTTTTGCAGGCCGACGATGGAATCTGAGTACGTGAGAAGGCATCACAAGCATGAGACGAGTGAGAATCAGTGCAGCTCTACTGTCATCAAGCACATCAAGGCCCCTGTTCATCTCGTGAGAAATCGATTCTTGTTTCTAAATCCCTTTCTTATTTTGCCTCTTTTGCTATTAGGGTTGATATTTTAATTTCTTTTCTGAAAATGAAGTCTCTATAGCTTGTTCCTGCGGTTCATGTCATTGGCTGATCTTGTAATTAGATCTACAGATGTGAGGAGGGTTCTTCTTTCCACTTGATTTGAAAAACCTGAGAAGTAGAGTTGTTTTGGTTTTGCGATTTGATTTTGATTGCTCTTCGTAATGTTTTTATTTGTCACACTTTTACCGGAACCTCTTAGATTGGATTTGTGGGTTTTACTTCATTAATTTGTATGGTTTTTTAGCTTATTTTTTGTTATGGCGCCATGATGAAGGTGTGGTCTCTGGTAAGGCGATTTGATCAGCCGCAGAAGTACAAGCCCTTTGTGAGTAGATGCGTGGTTCTGGGAGATTGGGAAGTCGGAAGTGTTAGGGAAGTTAATGTGAAGTCTGGCCTGCCGGCTACCACCAGCACCGAGAGGCTGGAGCTTCTTGACGATGACGAACACATTCTCGGCATCAAGATCGTCGGAGGTGATCATCGCCTAAAGGTATAATCGAAGTTTTTGATTTACTGAACTCTTTCTTTACTTTATTTGATCGTCATCCAACTACTTAAGATTAGTTCATCGATCTACTAATTTGCATGTTCTTACCATTGCTAATTGCTTAAGGATGCTCGAATTAGTGAGAAGATGAGATGAGGCTATAGAGAGTTAAATTTAGTTTGTGAATAGACAGATATTTTTATCATGTTGCAAGGTAGTTATCATTAATTTTTCATCATAGTTAATGTTTCTCAGGACACTATTAGGGGTGTAAACGAGTCAAATACGGCTGAGCCTGATTCGGCTCGTTAAAAAATATCACTGTTCGTGTTCAGCTTATTTATTTTCCAAATAAAAAAAATATGTTTGTGTTCGGCTTGTTCGTTTAACGAGCCAAACATGAGCTTTTAGCGAACAAAGAGTCGTTTTGACAACCTTAATCATGCATCCATAGACTGCTAAGGGTTTGGGCGAATCTTAAATCTTATTATTTATATTAAAATATTATTTAAATATTATTTAATATATTTTTATTCTATTTTCTTAATCAATAATTTTAATTGAGTATGAATCTTTGTAACCTTGTAGTGAATTAATTATTTTAAAAATACCACTCACCAATTATATCTATATATATATCAAAAGATAAAAATTATTTGTGTTTGGCTCATTAACTTAGCGAACAAATCGAACACGAGTTTCTTAACGAGCCGAACACAAACTATTCGCGAACAACAAGCTGTTTTGACAGCCCTGGACAGTATTTATATATTGTTGAATAATAATAATAATAATAACTATTTAGCAGTTTTTTTTTTCTTTTTTACTCATCTTGTAATTGCTTGAGATATGTGTTTTTTTCCCTAAAATTGCTGGCTTTTCCATTCATAGATATATAAATATATAAAATTTTGATTATAGGTTCGTAAATCGTAACTCTCCCTTTTCTTGAGGAAAATTGCATACTTAGCATCAAACTTTCAAATATTTACATAAAAACTCTCATTAACTTCCATTTTAAAGCAATAATCTCAAAAAGCGCAACAAAGTTAAAACCTTTACTTACTTTCATTAAATTCTTAATAATCTTATTCATTATTTTCATTTAGGTCCTAAATGTATAAATATGCAAAATTCTAATGTTAATGGACCGTTGGTTCTCTAGGAGATTTGAGAGCGATGGATTGTTATGTCTAATAACTTGAAGCAACAGAGTTGACCGTTAGCTTCTTCTCCTATTAATGACTTGATCATACTGCTTTGGGCAAGGCATGATATGGCATATTTATTCTTGTGCTCTTGTCTAATTAACTTCAAAGGGTTTCTTTTATTTAATTCTATATGATATTTGTGAAAGCGTGTCGTACTCGTCTCTATTGTTTCCCATTTTGAATATAACCTAAAGTTTCTTGGGCTTGGACGCATATATTCTTTCCAGAACTGATGCACATGCTTTTGATTTAAGATATGATGCAATCCATCTGGACCTGCTGTTCAATCATTGATTTTAAAAAAAGTAAAGTTTAAATGTTAGACATGTATATACGCAGGGTGGTATGTATGATATTTTTTTATTGATTTTTTCATTAATTGGCCATTTATTAACCCAAAATTCTTGGAGTAAGTAAGTGATCTAATATTGGGCAGTGATTTTAGCTTGAAGATTGTTAATTGCTCGAAAATCGATTTGAATTTTGGCTCTGAGCAGGATCGAGTCGAAATGAGTGAGCCGAAACTTTGGATCGAATTTTTTTTAGCTGATTTCGAGTAGTACATGGATTGGCTCGAATTGACTCGAGATCGGCTTGTACTAGTTTTTATGCATTATATATATATATA